TAATAACATGGCTAGTGAGTGTAAGCTTTGCAACAAGTCTGTTTAAGAACAAGAACAACAGGCAACATAGTGTGAATCCAGTATCAGCCAAAATAATGCATTCACATCAGGACCCTGAAACTAATTAACTCAACGAGTTACACTTGTGCTTATCCTGCTGTGCTTATTTGGTAACCTGCAGATATTTTGTTTTTATTTTATTACAGAGTCAACTGCTTTTTCTAATTCCTGTAATTGTTTTTATTAAAGGCTGTAATCAGTCACTTCAATTAAATATAACAGACAGCATTAAAAAGCTGACAGCTTCAATGGAGTAACTGATTAAGCTGACACACAATAATTAGGAAAGAATTATGATTCTCGAATTAAAAAAAGGAAAACGTAAACATACATTATTGCTCTCTGTTAATTATTACAACCTATGAAATCAATTCCACCATCTTACCACAAATACAGTGCATGCATTTAGTGTGAAAATAACCAAAAAAAGAGGTTTAAGAGAGTGTTACACAGTATTCAACAAACCTGCAATCTGAACAGATCCGTCTTCCCCCAGTAGTATGTTCCCAGCTTTCACATCCCTGAGGTCAACAAAACATTAATGCAGTCAAACAACAAAGTCATGTGGAGCAGCATTGATTCTTCCACTCCTGTTAACGTGTCGCCCTAACCATCACCATATAGAACTATGCCCATGGGGGTCGTAGAGGGTTAAGTCTGACTCACATTGACCTTGATAACCAGAAAGTGTACAGATCACGGCTGAGCTACAATCCAATGAATGAACGTATTTGTGTTCATTTTCAACATTACCACTTGGTTTTTTAGATAGCGGATCATATTTTCAATCAAACAATGTTGATTAAACAAAGGAAAAAGATATAAACCAATACCTGTGAATTTGTCCGTTTCTGTGTAGATAGTCCAGACCCTCCAGAACTTCGTTTAAAATAGTGGCAATAATAGGCTCTTCTAAAGCTCGATTTTTATCATCTTCTTTGCTTTTGTGCTTAATTATATCGAGCATAGATCCTAAAAAGATGCCAGCCAAGAAAAGAAAACATGGTTAATTTTTAGAAAATATTGGGAAACAAAAATCTGTTGTGATTAATTTATGTTACATTTCAGTGTTTGTGTATTTGTATATTTTGGTATTTTTAGATTTGTTTTATTGCGGGGAGCAGCTTATTGTATTGTCTTTACAGCTGAAATTACTTAATTCAGTGATTTAAACCTATGGTTTCCTAGTTAGTTACCACTGTTGGGTGTTACTGCAATCACATTACATTGATTTCAGTTCGTGTGCTGGAAAATGTCAGAGTGGTTTACTGCGAAGATATGGACATTACTTTTATTTTTATTGTACAAAAGAGCAAGAGTACAATGGTAAAGTGCAAGCTCTGTACAGAAAAGAAACAACCACATTGTAGTGGTAACTTTGGCTCCTAATAGCACTGCACGGACAGTCTGCTAACACAAAACTAGCCAAGAACCCAGAGCGATGATAAACCTGAGCGTATGCAGAACCCAGCCCAGCAGCCAGAGCCTGACCTTTAACAGGTATTAAAGGCAGTGATGAGCAGTCAGGCTCACTTCCTACCTGTGCACATTTGTAAAGCAGAATCACTGTTATGTTTTCAGCTTTCCGTTGTGTTGTCAGCTTTTTGTTCATAATTAAACACTAAAAGAAACCTAGGGATTTGTGTTGGTGTACAGGATTGGATCCTTAGGTTTTTATTGTTAAATGGTAAATATATAACATTATGTTTCAGGTAATTTTACAAAGTAATGAGAAAGTACGGTAACGAGTTATTACTTTCTGTGGAGAGTAATTAAGTTACGTGCTGCTTTATTTTTTTGGGAGTAACAACCCCGACACGGGTCTTCAATTGTTGTCCCAAAGATTGTGATTGCCTGTCTGTGAAAAGCGCTTAATAAATAAAGTTTACTTACTTACTTAGTTTACTTACAGAGATATATAACGGTTACAAAATTAAATAAAAACGACGAGCAAATGTCGTTAATTTAAGTCTTCATGAGTGTGGTCAAATTTGTATTGTGAGGACAATATCTACAAGTGTTCCAACTATAAAGCAAAACTTAATTAAACCTTACCAATTACAAATTATGATACCTGAACTAATAAAAACTGAACTGAGCAAAAACTACTGGAGTCTAAGCAAAACTAAACTGACCTGATAAAAAACATTTTTTATTAATTATAATGGATTATTATACTGAAACTGGCTTTATAATAAGTTTTGAAATTTCTCAGATGTAACGCTTTTCGTCAACTAGGCATTAACACAGGTTGATACACTGCTGTTCTTTAATCAGATTAAACACAGAACGGTGTAAGGGCATTTAAGACTTATGTTATCACATGAATGGCATGAATGCATCACTAAGCCACCCGTGTCAGGTGAAGCTTACCCCCACTCAGAAGCTTCATGACTAACCAGAGTTCATCCTTCACAACAAAGGAGGTGTAGTATGTGACAATATTGGGATGGTTGCACTGACTCATGGCCTGAATTTCTTTCTATTGGTAGAAGCAAATGACAGGATATTTCACATACAGGACATCTCATTTATTCAGGGCACTTGCTTTA